GGTGCACCCGCTGACTTTCCTCAAGCGCTCTCATTGCCAGTGCGTTGACGGTATACTACCGCGTGATGATCATCGAGGGCGCCGACGGCACATGGGCCGGCGCGCAGACCTTCATCTGCATGTGAGTTACGCACCCAGCCAGATGCTTCTTCGTTACGTTTACCCCACTAAGACTGACTCGAATCGCCCCTTCCAGCCAAGCCGAAGTCTACGTCTCCATCTTCGTGGCGTGCATGCCGTCCCTTTCCAGAATGTGGAAGGTGAAGCTCAAGGAGACGAGGGTCTACGGAAGCATAAAGTCACTCATGTCCGCCAGGGGGAGGACGACGGTGAAGAGCACCGCCAAGGAGACGGGGAATAGCGTTTCGATGGTCGGGCTGCAGGGCAGCCACAGCGCGTACCAGGAGATTCGCTATTCCAGCGACACCACGGTGCGGCCCAAGGGGCGGGAGATTTACAAGATGACCACGCTAGAGTTGACTTCGACTAGGAGCTCCAGTCTTCGGGAGGAGAGGGGGGCGGATGCGTATGTCGGCCCGATGAGGGGGGCTGGGAGGATGGATTTCCAGTAGGAGCGCTATACAGGGAGGGGAGGGTTTCATTATTCATGGATGGAAAAGCAATACGATGATGTGTGGCTTGATGGAATTTGATGGTACAAGAAATGGTTCATGTTCTTTGTAAGGAATTTTGCAGAATCTATCTCGGGCTGGGCCCGGAGTATGAGTTGTAACGGACGGAACGGAACATTCCGGCCAGGGGCAGAGACGGCCGGCATGCAAGCCGCCAAAATCAAGCCACCACGCTCGGCAGCTTGAACCCCCCAGGAACGCCCTTTTGAAATACACCTTCGGGATCGTACTTCTTACTCGCCTCCCTCAGCTTCGCGACGCTCTCCTCTCCATACCCAGCAATGGCCGAGTCGACGGCATCGGCGTAGTTGGTAAAGATGTACCGGTGCAGCAACCCCTTTTCACTCGCCAGCTGCCTAAACTCGGCGACGAGGTTGCGGATGTACGCGAAGATGCGGCTGTCGTCTTGCTGCGCGTTCCAGATGGGATTGATCAGGATGATAAGGAGAGGCCCGTCGGAAGGGGGGATGGCCTTGGCGTTGCCGCCGGCTTTCGCCGAGTTCTCCAGCAGCGTCCTCGTCAGGGGGTGCATGCCGAGGGTGAAGATGAACCCGTCGGCGTCTTTCAGGGCCTCGACCGCTTTTTGCCATTTCTCGTGGAATGTTCCCAGCAGCGATGGATCCGGCTTGACGGTGATGGAAGCCCAGTATTGCCTGTTTCTAGTTAGTACCATGCACATACATATACTATATTGCACGCATGCATGCAGCATGGGCGGTGTATTAACGGGGCGGGGGTGGACGGGCGGCGTTCACCGCTGATAACATGAACGTACCGCACTCCGTCAGTAGTAAACTTGGAGAGTTCGTCGCAGAAATCGAGATGCGTGGATTTCCGCATGGACCCCATCTGCTTAATCTGCGGTTCTACCGCCGTAAAACGCTGGAGCGCCGGGGGGTTCTCCAGCCCCTGGGTGTGGTACATGACGACGGTGATGGCCTGGTGGCCGAAGCCGTAGCCGGCACTGCACATGATGTGGGTGTCCTCGTCCGTCTCGTTGTAGGCATAGTCGCACGTCCTCTCGATGAGCTGCGGGAAGGTCTCGGGCATGTAGTAGGTGAGGCCGCCCCAGATGTCGCCGGACTGGAACGTCTTCATCTTGAGGGAGGTGACGATGCCGAAGTTGTTCAGACCGCCCTTGAGCGCATACCAGAGGTCCGGGTTCTCTTCTGCGTTGGCGCGAACGAGGTCGCCGGATGCAAGGACGACTTTGAATTCGGTGACCGAGTCGCATGCGAATCCTCTGCGTTTGGAGAACATGGATAGTCCACCTGGGGCGGGCGGGCGGGCGAGGTTAGAACTTGGCCATACGAATACAATAGTAGATAGCAACTTGAAAACCAAAGGATCAAAACTGTGTGGCTAAAACGTACCTCCCAGAATGAGACCACCCACGCCGATGCGTCCGACACGTCCTCCCGCCACGGTCAAGCCATGTTTTTCCAGCTCGGTGTATGCCGTCGCCCACGTCTCGCCGACACCGAGCTCCACAATGGACTTGTCCCCATTCAAGGTGATGCCCTTGAGACCCCTCGTGTCGACGGTGACACCATTTTGGACGTTGGCACTACTCGCAATCGGGGTATGGCCGGTGCCTCGGATGGCGACTTGACAGCCCCCCGAAAGCAGATGTGGGCGGAGTGCCTTGATCAGGTCCTGTACCTGCTCGGGGGAGCTCGGTTTGGCGATGAATGCCGGCTTGATCTCGTTCTCGAAGGCGCTAAAGTACGAGCCGTTGCTTTTGTCGTACTCTTCGCTGCCGGGCCGTAGGACGCTGTCTCCGAGGACGGTGGTTAGGACACTCGATATCTGGGCGTCGCCGGGTTCTGCCATGTTGAACTCGGACCGGGACAGGATTGACGCTTGACCGGAAGCGTAAATACAGGTAATTACGGTAACTCGATAGCAAGACGAAGAGACTGGATGGGACTAGACGTGATGGCAGGAGAACCGATAGTGAAATCCTCGTCCCTTATTAAACGCCGTGATCTGCACATCTCACACCTATATTTGTCAGAATCAGAACGGTTGGTCCACGAACGGGATAGCGCAGATAACAGTCATCCTCAACAAATAGGCCCGTTGGTCCTCAACTGATAACTATCACCGAACAGTATGAGGGCGTTCAGTAATGCCGCCAACAGGACTAAAGGGATACTGCAGGACAGAAGTACCTATAGCGCTGCACGCTGCAATACTAAGGTAGGGTAAGGTATGTATGCGCTCTACCTCCTGTCTCTTTCTATCCCCTAATTACTGTATATCCCGCCTCTGTATTACCCCTCATTTCTGCCCCTCATCGAGTACACTTGTAATTACCCCTCACTTGTTGGCGTGGGGGTGGGGTTACACGAGGAGGAATCCTTGGCCCCTGAGAAGACAGGACAGACCCTATACTATTTAGTGGTATTGTCAGAACACAAATAAAGGTACGCGAATTGTATGTGTATTCATCTAAGTGAAGTTCGTGGTACTTCACGGGGACGTCTAACTGTAAGGGAAAAGGAGGTGTAATGACTGTGGTTACATCGGCACGAGGTACTCCACTCGTCTGACACAATGTGGTTTGTCACACCTCGATAGGGTGGCTGTAGGCATCTGACAGGTACATACAGGGGGTGTACAACGTACAGCGTGCTGAAGTACACTGCAATGTTGCCCCACCTCGCATTCTCCACCTCTAATAGGGGTCCGGTTATAGTGCAGATACAGCGAAGCGTACAGGCTGCACTTGGTAGGATGCCCCTGAACCAGCTACTAAATACTCCGCACTCGCCTACCAACCACCTCATAGGCTCATACAGTACACCCTTTCCTCCTAGTCCTCACATGCGGACTTCAGCCATCGATTCCCTGTTTGCCACTTGTTTCTGTTCCCAGTCGTTTGAGTTATGCGTGCCCTGCAGATCTGGAGTCCAGACTCCAAAGATCTGTACAGTGTTGTCAGCGTGCGGTCCGATATCCACGAGAGGCGCCGGTGGCCCGTAGGCTGTAGCTTCATGTTGCTTCCTCTTGATGGATCGGCTCGGATCGCCCCGACAACTCTGGCCGACACCACTCCACTCCATCTCTGAACTTGATTCCTACCGCATTGACAGAACACGAGGTCTTACGTCCCAATCAACTCGCACGATGATCGGTCCGGACTCCGGACAGCCGTAGACGGTAGGATCACTACATTTGTGGCTTCTTAGCCGTGTCCTATCTCAGCGTCTTCCCGTTACATCGTACCTCTTCCGAACGCCTCATGCAACCTCCAGCTTCGAAAATGTCTCGTGGGTGTGAGAGATACCCTCCAAGTCCGCTTCAACTCGGACGCCGTTCTCTGGTACGAAGCATGTCGTGATTTACACTGAATTAAATGCCACCCCCTTGCTTCCGGGCCCTGGGTCTTCCCAGTTCCATCTATAACTCGCCTCGATTCATATCTACATGTGCTGTCCAGTGTCCCGGTTTTCATGATGGACGTAGAGTCATCATACGCCGCAACTGTCATCACGCTGGTGGCGCACGATGCTCGCCTCGGGCTACCCCTATTAGCTCTGCTCAGTCTGCTTGGCTGGAGGCTTTACACTTTCACCATCCTACCATGGCTTTATCCCAATGATCCAAAGGAGTATCCATACTGGATTCCAGGCCTTGGTAAGACATCTCAAGCTCTGCCCTTTCATAACGACATGGAGAGCTCCATCTGTGCGCTGCAGTATTAACATGAACCCAAGGCCACCTTAGATCCTTCTTCAAGGACTCCAACAAACTACTCTCGGACGCAAGGTAGGACCGAAACTAAGACTACCGAGTTGTGTCTGGACTAAGATTTATGTGTATGAAACAGACTCTACTTCCACGACAGCAGGGAGCCCTTTGCCCTCACCGTCGCCGGCCAAAAATGGTACGTCCTTCTACGACCCGAGGACGTTACCTCGACATACAAGATGGACGAAAGCTCGCTTTCCTACGACATTTTCGCCGTCGAAGTCATGCGAATGGTGGGCATCACCGAAGAAGGCGTCCGAAAAGCTTTCCAGACCCAGCCTGTCGAGAAATATGGCGCCCAGACCGCAGCCACACCTTATAAGCACTTGGTGAGGCTTTGCAAGGAGTACCAGCTGGTGCAGCTCTCTCCAGGACCCCGACTGGATCGGTTGTTAGGACAAGCAATCGGACAGTTCAACCTCCGTCTGGACCTGCAGTCCATACGCACTTGGGGGGCCGGATGGTATGCCAATTCCACGACCTCTGCCCCGGGCTCCGTCGACGTGTCCCTCTACAATTGGGTCTCCGATGTCTTCATCGATTTTGGTACCAGGGCATACTTCGGCGACCTGCTGCAGGACATTGCGCCTGATATTACCCGGACTTTCATGGCGTTCGACGCACTTTCCTGGCAGGCCATGTACCAGTATCCTTCTTTTCTGTGTGGCGAGATGACCAGAGCGAAAGGGAAACTGCAGAATGCCATGGCCGAGTACTTTGCCTCTCCAAAAGACCAGAGAGAGGATATCTCCTGGTTCATATCGAAGGTGGAGGAGGAGATGGACCGGCTTGACATAGCTGCCTCTGACAGGGCCATCTTTTTCTTCCAGCTATATTGGAGGTATGTCCCCTTTTCGTCCATCTCTCGCCTCTGTAAAGAAAAGAAGAAAAAAAAAATCACACCTTTAACAGTGCCTAGCATCAACGGAAACACGCGAAAAGCCCCCTTCTGGATGCTCTCCCACCTTCTCTTCAACCCAACCCTCCTCGACCTCATCCGAGCCGAGACCGAGCCCGCCATAAGCAAGAACGGCATCGACCTATCCCACCTCCTCAACACCCAGACCTGCCCCCACCTCAACAGCGTCTGGGACGAAACCATCCGCCTCGCCGCCTACGCCGCGTCGGTCCGCTTCCTCGCCCGCGACCTGCAGCTGGGCGGCAAGACGCTCCGCAAGGGCAACCGCCTCATGATGCCACAGCGGCAGCTCCATTTCAGCGAAGAGGCCTTCGGGGCGGACGCCGCGGCGTTCCACCCGGACCGGTTCTTGGAGGACCCGGCGCTGCGGCGGCACCCTTGTCTGCGGCCTTTTGGGGGCGGGGCGTCGATGTGTCCCGGTCGGAATCTGGCGAAGCAGGCGACGCTGGCTTTCGTGGCCATGGCGGTACGGAGATTCGAGATGGTGGTAGAGCCGCCTGGTCAGCCTTTTCCTGAGGCGGCGGAGGGGAAGCCGTCGATTGGGCTGGTTGATGTGCAGGAGGGGTATGATCTCAAGGTGAGGCTCAGGGCGAGGTAGAGACGGGTGGGTGTGTCGGTCATATCAAGTTGCATCCATGTCCCCTGTTTTTGATCTCGAGAGAAGTAAAAGTGCCAATCCAAAGGCCCGGTTGTAAACTCCCAGTGTCCTCTCTCTTTCCTCTGCGTCCAATCCAGACCTCAGTGCCCATAAGGTCTTTAAAAGCAATTTGATGGCAACCTTCTATATCCTCTTCGTTTTACGTAGCTGAGACCCGGTGCGCCGAGAAAGCACCGCCATCTCCAAATCTCTGCTGGGAAAAACGCAAAACCAATGAACACGGCGTCTAACTTTCATGACTGCACCCGGAGCCAACCGTCGTCAAAGCCTTGGGAGGTAGCGACCTACCTCGCGGGGTGGGCCAGCAGGGGCTCGTGATCGCCAGCTTCCACTGACCGCGTGCGCTGTGACGCGGGCGCATCGCTGCGGCGTCGGCCGGCGCGCTTCTCCTTGAAGCCCATGAAGACAAAGCCGGCGGCGACGGCGACCCAGTAGAGGTTGTAGGAGACGACGGAGCCGACGGTGGCGGAGTTTTGCCAGCCGAGGACGGCGTTGAAGATGCCCCAGAAGCCGCCGCCGTCGAGGTAGGGGTTGCAGCACTGATGGATGTTAGGGTCATGAGAGAAGTTCAAAGAACGGGAGAAGGGTGCACAGGGCAAGGGAGATGGTAGAGACCGAGACTTACGTTGACATGCCAGACACTCTTGCGGATATCGTACGAGCCAGGCCCTGAGCCGAGTTCGGCTGCGTCTCCCCCGACGATTTGATTCCACTCGTTCGCTTCCAGGTGCCAGATTCCTCGGGAGAACAGACCGGCAGCGACTAGGTATAGTAGACAGGTGGAGAAGACGAGGAAATAATGGATGGGTGCCACGTTGGAGCCCCTGGATAGGAGAAAAACAAAAGGGAAAACGGGATAAGTCAGTGGAGATCATGTCACGACTTTGAAAACTCGGGGCAAACTTGAACTCACCTGTAGATCAGATATCCCACGAATCCTCCAACGACAAAGCCAGCCAAAGCCGACACGATGATAGACAAGGCCGAGAGACCAAAGCCAGCACCGGCGATGAAGAGGATCCCCTCAAACCCCTCCCTCATGACAGTGATGAAGGGAAGGATGAAGAGCGCGTATTTCTCCCCAAGAAACTTCACCCGGTCAACGAGGCTGCCGGATCGCCCCGGGCCAGCATCGCTGCCGCTCGACTTGATGGCCCTGGCCAACTTGGCGCGCCACTTGTCCTGCAGCTTGCCGACGCGGAGCAGGACGGCGCCCATGACGGTGATGACGAGCGAGGCGACGAGGGAGAAGACGGCTTCCCAGAGGGCCTCGGCGCCGCTGACTTGTTCGGCGGCCAGGCCGTAAACGCCGCCGATGATGGCGGCGCCGAGGAGGACGCAGGTCAGGATGCCGATGGCGGTGCCGAGCCAGACTTGGCGGACCATGGTGGCGTGGAGGCTCGCGTCGACATCTTGGGGGCTCAAGGTCCGCTTGATGATGGCGAGAAGCACGGATACGATGATGCCTGTCTCGAGGGCTTCGCGGAAGCTGATGAAGAAGACTGCGAGGGATTAGTGAACTGAGTGAAGTGTGAGATGGGTGGGGAGTCTTGAGTCGGGGCTGGGAGTCTGGGACTTGGTGAGCAATCGTTGGAGTCTTACTTGGTAGCGAAAAGAGGCCCTCCATTTCTTTGGACCTAGTCTTTTCCTTTGTTTCTCAAATAATGAAGATGAATGTAAAAGAGTCTCGAACGAGACTTTCAGGGAGTCGGAGGAGACAGGCCAGTGAGTCGCCCGTGGTCCTCAGACATGACATATGCAAAGGAAAAGAAAAAGAAAAAGAAAAAGAAAAAGAAATGAAAGTCCCCACAGGTGATAGGTGAGCCGATTCCGGTCAGATCAGATCAGATAAGATTATGATAGTGATTTACTGGGGGCCAAGGCCTCGGGTATTGTCAGATGCTATAGCCACCTTATCGGGGTGTGATAAACCATATAGTGTTAGACGTGTAGAGTACCTCGGTCTTATATATCCACCCTTATTTCCCCTGCTTTTTCCGTATAGTTAGATATTCCCGTGAAGTATTATAAACTTTACTTAGATAAATATATATATAATTCCGTGTACCTTATTTATATTCTGATAGTTATAAGCCCGGCGTTCTAATAAACGAAGCTATTCCGATCGATCCTATAGCTTCTAGGCTATTAAAATTAGCCTTAAGTCTATAGCGGATAGTTTAGTTTTATTAGTAATATCCGCCTGCTTTAGTTTTATTTAATCGTTTTATTATTTCTATCGCACCACCGTTTAAAGCGTTTAGTATAGTTAATTAACCTTTTCGTTTATCCTATTCCACTGCTTTTTATTAGTATAACGATAGCTTCCACGGTAGTAATGCCTATTATAGGCCTTATAACGCTTACCGTACCGAAAGACTAGAGGCCTTGGATTTATCGTATAGGCACACGGACTACGACGTGGTCTATAGGGGATCCAGGGAGAATCCACGCTATGACTAAGGGCTTTAGATATAATAGGGGCGGATACCGGAAAAGACCGGATAGGATCCAAATAACTTAGTACCTATAACAGAGTCTTTACCACCTAAATTAAGGGCATAAGAGACTCTCCGAGATATAACTTAATATAATACATATATAAGATTTCTGCTCTACTAAGTTAATTATTTAAATACCTATTTAACGTACGATAGTTATAAGCCCGGTTTATAACGCCTAAACGATAGATATTAATAAGGCTACCCCTATTCCACTATAAAAAGCAATCACGTTTATATAAGCACTCTTAAATAACTACTATCGACCTAATCAGAGTAATTAAAAGATTAATCAACCTATCTATTAATTAACTAATAAGCAAGTAAAGATATCTTCTAATATATCTAACGCCGAATAGAAGACGGCCGCTACTACTCTTATTAACTAAAGGGATCAGGTAGTATGGGAGCGCGCCGTACACGGTAAATCTGCCTCCTACTAGGATAACTACCTTAATCTAAAGCTAAGCGATAAGGAGGCTAACGCCTATCTCCTCCTTATACCTACACCGCCTAATATTCGTAAATATAAAGCCCTCGTAGTAGACCTTAACGCGGAGGAGGCCACGGCTATTACTATCACGGCTAATCCGTCTTCCACTATTACGCTAAAGGGCGATAAGGCCACGGATACTATAAAAGCCACGGCTATTATAGCCGCTACCACGGCTACCGGTAAGAAGAAAACGGCCGCCCGCTATAAGGCCACGGCTATAGCCGTAATAAAAGAACTAATAACCAGGACGCCCACGTCCATTAACGACCTCTCTAAAAAGGGGCGTACGCGCTACCTATAATATCGCCGTGTATACCGCGAGGAAAAGGCAGACTATAACGCGTAGCAAAAGGAGTTTAACAAGGTAAGCTCCTATATCGAAAGGACCGTCTATACCACGTTATGTAGCCTCCTCGCCTAGCTATAGGATAATACCGTAAATAATCCACGGGCTTAGATTACTCTTCTGCACGCGCACGCAGGACCGACCCCTATAGACCTCCGTAAGGAAGCCTTAGTCCTGTATCGATAATACACCACGCCTATAAAGGCTATACCTAAGGATATAGACGGCTAGGTTATAAGCTAGAAAATAGTAATAATATACTATAAATACGTAGGCGTTTTAAAGCTATTAAGCGCGGACCGTTAGGCAGAAGACGCGTTAAAAGCCGTTAGACCTATCGCCCAGGAATAAAGTAATGACTACTTAGTAAAAAACTACGATAAGATTACGGAAAACGAGCTAATAATTAACGACTTCGTAAAGGCTCTACGGGCGGTTCTTAGTAATATAAAGAGCCTATAATCCACCGCTATAAAGCCTAGAGTTAGGAGAGGCACCTTTAATACCCTTAGGAACCTCCCCGATACTAAGGATACTACTATTACTAATAATAAAGATAATAAAAAGCGTCCTCGTAACGATGTATCCTTAAAGGCTATCCCTCCCGTAACGAGGAGGCCTTATAAGATATATAAGAACCCCTATACTACCGCCGCCTATTAGTACGTAAGGCCGGATATACGCTTTTATACCTGGCGTGGCCGTGAAGATATTATAAAGGTCACGGAAAAGAAGATACGCAATTATAGTTTTAAAAGCCGCGTGGACACCGCGATATAAAAAAGGCGGGAAGCCTTAAGGGCTATCACCGCTAATAAGATAGAGAAAGTCTAGGAAGATTAACTCTATAATACTACGCCTACTATAATAGTTTATAAAGACCTGTCCGTTACCGCGACGGAGAGACTAGGCGCCTACCTAACCTAGGGGGTAACGCGCCGTTATCGTATAATAACACTATTAAGATTATAATAAGAATAGGGGGTATCCCTCTTTATTAACTAAGCCAGAGCGCTATTATACTACGCGATCCTAGACTCAAGATCGTTAATCTATATCTTTAATAATTAAGGCCGTTTTACGGCCGTTAGACCACCCACAGATACTTTATCTTTATCCCTTTAGGTAGGTACTTATAAGGCTTCTATCCTCGGATACGGAGACGTTAAGCTATGTATATAATCCCTATCGGGTATAAAAAGGCTATTACGCCTCCGTGATATCGTATACTATAAGGAATTTGTTACTAATATCGTCTCGGAACGCTAGCTACGCCTATAAGGTTACCGCTAGGATACCGTAAACGATACTATTATTAGCTCCGCCGATAACCGGCCTATCTATAAGCTATTAGATATCCACGGCTAGTATATAATTAAGCGCGCGGAAGCTATGGCCGCTACCGCGTTCGCGGTCTCGGTAAGGCACCCCCGCGATAACCCGTATAGAAAATCATAATAACCGCGGCAACCGTAGAAGACCACGGCATAATAATAGCACGAACGCCTCGGCCACTACGACACCGATACTCTAGCAAAGATCGTTAACGCTACTTAGGGGGTAAAGATAAAGGGACCTTATATAACGGACTATAACGCGTATAGGTAATCGTAAGTACCTACGTAGATCCGGCGGATACTATCCTTTTACCCGTTAAAGCCCGGAAAGGCCCTAGCCGTTAATTTTCACGATCTAAAAAAGTCGGAATCGCTAGGCGGACTATATAAGTCCATTATACTTATCACAGACGTATACACAGATTATATATAGGATTACTACCTACAGAAAAAAAGACTAAGGCTTTATCCTATACGCTCTAAAAGACGTTTTTGCCCTGCTTAAGACCTAATTCGATATCAGGCCACGCGTTCTACGGGCCGATTCTAAGATATTTTAGTACCCAGAAATCGCTGCTTTCCTCGCTACTAAGGGGGTAGAAGGTTAGCCGTCGGCATTATATTTATAGGATCAGAACGGCGTTATAGAACGGATTAAAGGTATCGTTGAAAGGAGGGCGAGGGCTATAAGGATTAGGGCTAATCTGCCCACGTCTATCTAGCCTAAGATCCTTAAGACTACTATATATCTGTATAACAGGACGCCACGATATATTAACGACTAGCGAACGCTATATAAAGGCCTACGCGGCCGTTAACCTAACCTTACGCACCTACGAGTATACGGCTATAAAGCCTTTATAAAAACGCGTGATACCTAAGCTAAAAAGAACCGTCTATAAAGGCTAGAACCGAAGGCATAGATCGGTTATTATATCGGATACTAATCCTCGAACAGCTTCCGTATTTAGCTACTATACCTAACGGATATTATCACTATAAGAGACGTGGTCTTTAATAAAGATAAGATATTTAACGGTAGGATTAAAACACTATAAGCTATAGCTTCCGCTAAGGAAATCGGGGAACGCCTATAATCTATCCGTATTACCTAATCTAATAAGACTGCGAATAGGCTGCTATTAAGGGGTATAGCCGTAGACGTATTAGATCTCGAGTCGGAAAACTCTAACGCTATTACTACGGGTAAAAGCGACACCACCGCTATTAGTACGGATAAAGGCGAGGCCGTCGCTATTACTATAAGAGAGACCACTACTATTACTATAGACAAGGTTCTAAATCTATAGCCTAACCTAGGCTATAGATTTAGAACCTCGTAACTTAGATTACACCGCTATTACTACGGGTACCGCTATTATTATGGACACTGCTATTATTATAGAAAAAGATAACGCTACCACTATTATTACGGATAAAGGCAAGGCCGTCGCTATTACTATAAAAGAGGCCACCGCTATTACTATAGGCACCGCTATTACTACGGGCACCGCTATTATTATGGAAGAGAATACCGCTATTACTACGGATACTCCACGGTTTACTACTACGAGGTTTAAACCGTTTCCTACGCCTTTAATATCCCCGGAAGATCCTGCGCGCGCGTTCCTTATAGCGTTAGTGGTGGTTAGGGGCGTTAAGGTAGAAGGAGACAATAACCACTAACAGGCAGCCGCGGATACCCCTAGGGGGTGCCCGTCGGCCGTACGCCTATTACCCGCGCGCCTATCCATTATAAGCATCTATAAGACCGAGAAGGTATAGAACAATAACGCCTAGAAGGCGTTCTTTAATGCTAAAAGGACTTATAACCCCATACGCGCGAGGAAGTAAGCTATTAACGACGGCGACGTCGGTGCTATAGATTCCACTCCCTCTAATACCTCCTAGCCTTTATCGTATATAACCCGCGAGGATCTCCCGTCT